TTAACACATTAGATATACAATATTTTCATTTACATTCTTTCTGTTTCATTATTATTTGGTGTCATTAGAAAAATCCATTAAACCAACAATCGAAAAAATTACACGCAAACATAATGATCCCGGCCTCGCGCTTGCGCGGGGAATATGCAACTAGTATTGTATAGCGAAAGAGATCGTGAGTGGGTCTATATGTTGTCAATGGGGCACTGATTATAACATCTCTTTATTACTCACATGCACCACTTCACGGGATTTGCTTTTGTATTCACAACTCCTCCAATTATTATTTACTTACTTTCTTATCTTCTTATTTATTGCATGTTGAATCCATTATATATTAATAGTTCAATTATAACTCATGAAAAACGACTTGCTGCTTAAGGAAAGAGCAGAAACAGAAAACAGAAAGTAACCGAAGCTTGTTTCTTTAGGTCCTCAGTATTTTATTTTCTTCTATTTCTCTCATATTTGTATATATATACACTGACTATGATGAAAAAGTTCGAAACAAAATTGATGTCGGCATTGTTTTTCTTGTTTCTCATCATGAGATGTCGGCATTGTTTGAGAATGATTAAGCTGTTTTATTTAAATCAGATTTATAGCTTCAGACGTGAATATGCAATATTGTCTATATACGGTAATCGTGAAATATTGTGTTCGAACTAAGTGAAACATACCAAATATATTCGATGATATAGTAAAAGAAACTACACAAAAGACAAACGAAATAAGATGGCGATTTCTGTGAAGTTCATGCGAAGTTTACCAAAATACACATGAGCCTCGGTTCTGGCTAAGTTAGTATAACGTTTTAAAATCGTATTAGCTGAATTTTTTTGGTATTAGCACACATTTTTAGTTGTATAGTCAAAAGACCAATTTAGAGCATCCGCAATAAGGAGTCCTTAAGGAAAATTCTTAGGAAAAAAGAAAAAAAAAAGCATTTCAAATTATATAAGGATATTTCAAACTTTTTCTTTTTAAAAAAAAAAGTTACCATGTGCAGGCTGACACGTGGGTAGTGGTGCCCATGAATAGTGTTCAATCCTTAAATAGAGATTTTAAAGATAAAATCATTAACTGTTCATGGAAACCATTGATTATAAAATTAATATTTCTTTAAATATTTCTCCTAAAGATCTCTTGTTACGGGTGTTATTATATCACATACTATATAGAGTTATTAACACAAAAGAACACAATATGCTATACAGACATTTTTTGTGGTTGATGACCCTTTTGACCTTAGAAAAGCTTAATCAATAATGAGCATATGTGTAAATCGTCAATATTTTTCTGGTTAGTCTAGTTAGGTGATATGAAATTCGAAATTATCAGGGTTTGGGAGATGGACTCCAAATGAAGTTAAAACATATTTAATATATTATAGTACTATTGTTTCAGTTCTCGTATGAAGTATTTATTTGTTCGTCTCCAGCTATTTTTGGAATACAAAATGTGTCTTAATTGTAGAATTCTATCATGCAAAAATATTTGGAAGATAAATTGTAAGGAAAAAAAATAGTTTATCATATATATTTAATAAAGACGTTAAATAAATATATATGTACTTGAAAGCATCTTAGGGATTCAGAAAAGAGCTTTGTGCGCTCATAGTATTGAACAGCTTTTTTTTTTTAGTATTGAACAACTTCTCTATCAAATAAAACCAAAAATTAACATATAAATACAGTAGAATGTTCAATTCAACTGTTATAAGCTGTAAAAATGTAAGTTGTTTTTTCTTAGGTAAAAGAAAAATGGATATCTTATTGCCATTATGTTTTTTAGAATTTATAATTATTACAAATAATAATTATACTCCCTCCGTTCCTAAAAGATCCATGTTCTGGAAATATATTTTGTTTCAAAAAGATGTATATTCTATGAGAAAATTACAAGTTTCAAAAAGAATAATTAGTTTTATTAGATTACTATTGGCTAAAAGTTGTTGAAAATTAAAAATTACTGAAAACAATAGTGATTTAATGTGTTTTCTTAACGTGTGTCAAAACACTATAAATGTATCTTTTAAGAACAAAGGAGTATTGTTTTACTATTCTGCAAATAGTGAAGTATCATGTGATGAACACACGTATATGATAAATGTGATTCGACAGTCCCCTTTTTGACAGCCAAAAAGCTGTTGGCCTAGAATAAACAAAAACAATTATGAGATTATCGTGACAAGAATATCATCACATGAAAGATTGATCTTCATAGTTAATTCGGATACATTTCTTTTTTGAGAAATCATTCGGATACTTTTTTTTTTTTTTTTGAGAAACCATTCGGATACTTTTATTATTAATAATAAACGTAAACTACAATAGCTACGTATTTTCTTAAACCTAAATTTTGAAAATTCGTGGGAGATCATAAATCTTTAACCGTTGTTATGGTTTAGTTTTTGTAAACCCTGGAGAAACTATACGCCTCATTGTGTTGCCCTTTGCCTCAAATACGATCTTTTGTGTTCACACACACATGATTCCTGATAAGGTATACTAGCGATAATCAACTTGTCACAATAATGTTACTGTTGAGTTTCAAAAGAAAGCAAACAATGCTATTTAGTCTGTTGTATTCGTTAAGTTGGATTATAATATGCGAAGATAGTCAGAGACCATGGTTTGTTACCAAAAAAATGTGTAGCCAGAGACAATGGCTTCTTTACTGATATTGCAGTTAGTTTCAGTTTAACTTACGCACCAGATATATAGGTCCAAACAGATGCATCTATATGACCCTCTCTTTCATTAAAATTATCGAAAATACCACTGTTCATTGTTGCACGAGACAAATAAGTACAAAACATGCTCTATTTATTTAAACTATTTTTATTAAAAATTTAAAACTAAGGAAAGGATCCTGAAGAATCAAGAAATGTGTCAGGCAAAACATTTATTATATCTAAGCCCAAAGCTAACGTTGCATTTATAAAATCGAAGACTCATAGGTGGACCAAACATGCTGCCTATCTTTTGGTGGTTCTCTTAGCTACGAGCCGGTTAAAAACAATCGTTCATTTCTCTACTAATTGTGCATTATATCGCAAGATCTAATTAAATTATTAAGACTTTCAATGTACATATTTCCCTTCTATATATATTGACTAAATCATCAAAAAATATTATATACGTGGATGCTTAGAGTTATAGATCTTGTTTTCTTTGATACTTTTACGATACAACAACTCATACATCGAATAAGCCAAAATTCGATGCGCTATTATCTATTAGATATAGCTAATAATATGGACAAATCTGTAAGGTGCACGAGAGTTTTGTAATTATTGGATAATAATAACAAAATGTATCCCCTTTGACTTCACAGCTCGACTATTCAAGATCTCGTGCCAATCTCTTTTTTTTATGTTGTTGGTAAAGCTAACGATATTTTATGGACCGTACCGTTTCTCTGAGATATACGGCATCAAATATTTAACATAAGTTATATGTCTTCTACGTTTGTTAAATAAACTTACTCATAGGAAATTTACAATATTCTTTTTTACAGTATATCAGATATAACCATATCTATTATTTTTGCTAAACAGATATAAGCATATCTAAAAATAAACAAAAGTCTTCGGCTCATCCGTAATTCGATCTGTATTATAACTTTGACCTTAAACCTAGCTAAATTATCTAGTGTGTTAATCAAGACTTGATACGATTCCATATTGATCATCTTATATATATAATCTACTTTAGTGGAGAGAGTCCAATTCAACAGCTAGGAAAACCCTTTAATAAGCTGTTTAAAGCGCAGTTTATATATACTTGGATCACATTATTTACGTCACGTGGATATTATTTCTTTGATTCGGGATTAATTAGAGTTTGTTTTATCTTTTGGCTTTACGAGTGTGATCAGTTATATATGCTGTCTTCAAGTGCAGATCCGCTCGTGAACCTCTTTCTCTTGTTAGCTTCCCCGTGAACTCCATGCAACGTCTTAGAATTTACCCCCAACGTCCCTTCAATGGTTATTTTCTAATCTTTTTATTCTCTAATTCATTCATTTTGTGCTTTCCATTCCATGTGCTCAATTTCTTCTAATATATTAGATTTATAATTCAGTCACATGTATAGATTTATAAATTTGACAGAAGGATCTAATTTTATATACTATTATAAAATTCGGTTGTCCCTGTAATATCCACTTCGAATAATTCGAGTTATGGACTGTGTTTGAGTTATAAACACTATATGATTTCATATGAATATGTGTGTGAAATGAATCAAATGATAGAGAGATCATGGGTATTTACTGTTATGTTGCTTCATAAATTCACAGAGACAAATTTTGTCTCTTCCCGTGACCAAACCAATTTGTTCTCATTATACATTAGACTATCATCCAATCACCGTTCAACATGTGGATATTTGTAGATGCATATATCTATACGTGTATGTCAAATTAAATACTAATGTCAGTGATGATCACATGTATATCATTTATGTTGAGTCATACAAGCAGCCACTGATTCTCGACTATTTTTGCGTATTACCTGGAAACTAGCAGTTTGTACCAAACACTCTTTCCTCTTTGCCACTGGTCTAGAAAATTTTCTTGTCAAAGAAAATCAATTCTTCTTTAAAATGCATTAATTCCATTCAGTTAATTTATATTTAGTTCAAACAATATGCTTTTAGTCAAAATTGATTGATTGTAAAGATTATTATGAAATTGCATATACAATTTTTTTATTTTTTATTTTTAAATTGCATATACAAATTTTTATTATCGGATTTTCCCACTGAAATTGCAAATTTTTTTGTTTAGCGAATATCAAAACAAGAAGCTTTATCAGTTGGGCTTAGACACTTTTGGCCCAGTTTTTCTTTTGATTTTCGATTTGGGCCAGTCTATGGTCTAGCAGCTAAACCGGAAATAAAACCAACTTAACAAAAAATTCGGTTTCGAAAATTGACCAAACCCTCTAAAAGGGTTTTAAACTCACTGACTTGTGTCAGACGGCGAAGGCCATCATGACGACGGTGAAGCTGAGAGAAACAATAGATCTCACGGACAATGAACGAAAAATCTTCGACCTTCTTTTAGGTTTTCTCCATGAATCTAACCTCAAAACGCAGCTCCGCGTCGCAGGTGGTTGGGTGCGCGACAAGGTACTACTCTTCCTTCACTTCCTAAAGTTTTCTCTTTCTTTTTTTTTTCAAACTGCGTAAACACTGATGCGCTTATGCTTTACTACCAAGAGTTTTGATTTTGTTTTGAGTTTGTTTGCAGCTTCTGGGGAAAGATTCTGATGATATTGACATAGCCATCGATGACATGACAGGAAGTGAATTTCTTGAAACGTTTCAGGATTATTTTTCTAATAAAGTGGGAGAAGTTGTGAACATCCATATCATTAAAAGGTTTCTTGAGATTCCCTTCTGAATCGGATGAAAAGCTTTCTTGATATTAACTTTTTCTTATTTTTGCTTGCAACTTCTCAGTAACCCTAAGAAATTCAAACATTTGGAGACCGGGAAGATGCGTCTCTTTAACCAGTGGATAGATTTTGTACAGTTGAGAAAAGAAGAAGCTGATGAGAACAGTCGTTATCCTAAATCAGTGGTGCCTGCTCTGTTATTCATTCTCTTTGTGGTTTTGAAGAACACATAACCTCTCTTTTAAGTCTTTTTTTTCCTTTCCTATAGGCTTTTGGAACTCCAGAAGAGGACGCTTATAGAAGAGACTTAACTATAAATAGGTACTCCTTTATCTTTGTCCAGAGAAAGAAGTTGCATATCCTAATGTTATATGCGTATCACTTAGTTCAAACTGTGACAATCTTTTCTGATGTCTTGTATCTGACAGTTTATTCTACAATATTCACACTGGCTTAGTAGAAGATCATACAGGAAGAGGTTAGTTAGTAGTTTTTACTCTGATGAGAAAACTAGTAGAGTTTATAAGGGATGATGATGATGATGCAATGACAGGCATTGATGACCTCAAGTCTGGAAGAATTATCACTCCATTACCTGCAAAAACTACTTTTCTGGAGGATCCCTTGCGAGTTCTTCGTGCGATTCGCTTTGGTATTTGTGATTCTGTCATCTCTGTTGTAATGGTTTTTGTCAATCTTGGTTAACAGATTGACATATAAATGTATAATAGGTGCAAAGTTTTGTTTTACTCTAGATGAAGAGCTGAAAGAAGCTGCTTCAAGTGAGGAAGTTAGAGTAGCTCTTGAAAGAAAAATATGCAGAGAGCGTATAGGAAACGAAGTAAGGATGTAAAATTCTTGCATTGCTGCATTTAGCTGATGTTTTTTTTTGTTACACAACTTGATTCTCTCGTGTAGATTGATATGATGATAACTGGGACTGGACCTGTATCAGCAGTTACTTATCTGTCTGATTTCAAACTGTTTGGGGTTGTCTTTGCTATTCCCTCTTCATCTGAGCCCTCACCGGGAACTAACTGTGGCAGGTTTGTCTCTTTTCTACTCTTATACACATTCAGAGCTTAACACTGATAGTCTTATTATGCCATCACATGTATTGCTTCTTTAGTCTCTGCCGAGACTACATGGAAGCTATGTGGAACTTAATTCAGACACATGGGCTCGTTAACTTCAGTGTGAGTCATTAGCCTGTCACCATCGGTTCTTGTTTTTTTTGTTTTTAGTTAAGATCTTTACTGGTGTCAAATTGTAGAGTGAACAAAGAAGGCTTGCTCTTTACGCAGCTCTGTTCCTGCCGTTTAGGAGAATGGTCTACAAGGAAAACAAAGAAAAATTGGTACTGATAGTTCACTAAGTATTTTGTGCTCTTAGCTAAAATCTTGAGTTTGATTCTCTAAGCAAATGAAACATGAACCCTGTCTAGGTTTCTGTTGTCAACTACATCTTGAAGAACTCTATGAAGCGGAAGTTTAAGGACGCTGAAACAGTGAGCTTTTGTTTATTAATGTTCAGTGTCTTAATCTCCAATTGCAACACTATTATATGGTAATAAAATCCATTTACTTCCTTCAGGTTATCAGTATACACCGTGCAGCGGAGAGATTCAAGTCGTTGATTCTTCCTCTTCAGTTGAAGAATCCAGTACATCTGGATAAACTTGATTGGGGTAGTGAGATTCTTGAGCTCTGTGAATCCATCTCCTTAAATGATCCAAAGGTCCTCGCAACATCTAAAATAAGAGTACTCACAGGTAATCTTCAATAGTCTCTATAGTAGTGTACTACGACCACATGAAATCACTAACTTTATAGTACTATAACGGGGTGTTTTGGTCATACTCTCCAGGGTTTCTTCTTAGAGATATAAAAGATTTCTGGCGTGTTGCCTTGTTAGTATCATTACTGCTGTATAAGGATGATGATGGCATGAATCTTGATCTTGACAAGAAAATAGAAATTTATCTAACAATTCAGGACAACATCCGTGAACTGAGTAAGTATATGTGATTAAGTGATAGCATTGAAAATGGAAAAATTGTGAGACAAGGCAGAACAAAGTATTAGAATGTGTTTACATTAACTATGTTTCTTGCTTAACATCACAGGTCTTGATAACGTTTGGGATATAAAGCCTCTGATGGATGGAGAAGAGATCATTAAAGAAGTTCAAAAGGAAGGACTGGTTACCGCAAAACAAGACAGAGGACCCATTATACGTGAATGGGTAAGTCTTCATCTGTGCATATTAGATCTTATACATGTAGGGGTTGATCGTTAACATGCGATTCTGCAGTGTTATTCCATTAATCCCATATTGCTACTCTCTGTTTTGCAGCAAAAGAAAATGCTTACATGGAAGCTAACTTATACCAAAGGTTCCAAAGAGGAATGGATGAGTTGGATGAGACAAAAACTAACAAGGACTTGCGTGACTTTGGAACATGGGGAGAGTTTGTGATGTTGCAGTTTAAGACTAGAAGATTAGTTTGATTTTCTTTACTATAGAAAAGAACAGATAAATTCAACTACTTATGTAAATCTTTTAAGAAAACTGTTACAAATACAAATGGTTCACTGATGATACTCATAAATAAGAAAAAAAAAACCATAAAAATTAATTAAACAGAGAACAAACTTTCGAAATAATAAATACAATCTCCGGGGGTGGTAGGTGTGGAGACTACCTCATAAGATTTGGTATGGAGATCATGTAGCACGAGTGGTTCCAAGCCTCTACGACTTTGAAGATATAACTTATTCTTCTCCAGGATTGCTACAGGTAAAGGCACGAGAGGGCAACTATTGTTGAACCAAGGCAAAGTATCGGTGAGATCTATTGAACACATTTTCTTCCATGTCTTTGAAGAATCATCCAAGGACCATATGACTTGGGTTGGCCAGCTTTTCTCGGAAGCGCACAAACAGTTATCAAGGATGAACAAGATGACGCATCCTGTGTCAGCTGGTGCATCAGCAAAGGGAGTTTTACAGATGACTTGGAAAGTTTCTGTGTGGAGATGGAAAGACAAAACCTTTGTTTCTTCACAGTCGGTGAGCCAATAGAGTGACCCGTCAAAGTAGACTGGCTTCTGGAATTCGAGAATACGATAAGGAGAAGCAGGGACAACGTACCTCCACGTGTCTGTGCTAAATTCGAAAACTTCACAAGTGGTAACGTTGTCTAGTCCAAATTCGGATGAATTATACAACCAAACTGGCTTGTACTTGTACGTACCACCACTACTCAACTTGTTGTCTTTACCAAACCCAAGCTGACAAGTTAGGGGGTAAAAGCGTCTTTTAATATTATATCTGTCGATGATAAGGCGTTGCACGGAGGAAAAAGGAAAAGTTCGATGCCATTGAGTGGCGGGATTCACCACGACGTTTGGTGTGTCCATACAGAAGAGGCAAACCAGACCGTCACAACTACCATAGCAAAGCAAGAGGTTGGGAAAAGGGAACTTGACCGTACGGAATGTGCAAGAAGAGGCCCCCAACACAAGTGGAGCTGCTGCATCATCAGGAGGATCCTCGTGAATGGCTACGAAAAGGAGATCATGACCTCGTGATTGCTTACGAAGGTTCAACTGTCTTTCCTGGAAACGAGGGGAATCGATTGTGGATCTCCACTTCTTGGACACAGACCTGAATCTCCGCAGAGATTCCACGGGAAGTCTCTCGAGTATGAGCTCTATCACATCGTGTGGTAGAAATTCAAATTCTACACTCAAGCTGGAGCCATGTCTTTTCTTATCTCGCCTAATCTCAGAGCCATGTCTTTTCAACATTGTGTATGTCGCCTCATTTTATTGATTAGAGGGTGGCTTTAATATATGCAGTGCATCCGAGCTATAAGCAATTGATAAAAAGGAAACATTTCCATTAAAAGAAAGAGAAAATGAGTAGAATAGACTTGAAAAAGTTTTTATCACAAATATAGACAATGATCAAAATAACATTTAAATATTTTTCAAATATACATTTATACCTTTTGGGTTAACTTATCTTAGATTTTTTTGTTTATAGTTGAGGTTTTGGGGATAAGGTTTCGAATTTAAAAAAAATTAATAAAACTTAAAATTTTCAAAATAAAAAGTGATATTTTGGTCATTTTAATTTTTGAGATCTATTTTTGTGAGAAAAACTTAAGAAAAGCTATTTGAGAGAATTGACCTAAAAGAAAATGAAATTCTCAAACTTTTTTAAAAGAAAGCACGTTAAATGTTTTTTAAAAAAAAACTTCATGTTTTTTTAAAAAACACTTCATGTTTTGTTCTTTTCCTTTATGGCTTATGAAGATAATTTATTTTGATTGTTCGTTTATTGGCACAATTTATATCAGGCGGATATGTTCGGAGATCACCAAGGTTTGCGAGAAGGAAACAATGAAGACTTTTCTTTAGGATCTAGATAGTTTATATAGGAGAAAAGATTGAGGTTTATATGTGTAGACGTTTTAGACTTTTACATATTGCTATGAAACATGATCATATGCTATTATATGTAGACATTTTACCTTAAAAGGTTTTCTTATTAGATTATGTAGATAAGCTTTTCATTTGTAATATAAGAGTCTGATTATTGTTTTGATATTAAATTCCTACACTTAAAATTTATAAATATATTGTGTAATATATACGTACATGAATAATATGAGTAAAATTGAAAAAGATCCAAAAACAAATTTATACAACCTTTATCAGTTCATTCTAAAGCAAACAATATCATATCATTGTATAAAACTAGATATAAACTCAAAATAAAAAATGAATTTATGCAGACTTTTATAAGTATTCTGATTTTTTTTATGTAAGAAAAAGCCAATATGTATGTTTAATAAAAGAAAGCCAATATGTAATTATCTATTTACTGGTATTTATACTAAGATTGATGCATCTTTTGAAAGCTGGAAATGGGCTATTGACTGTTTAAAAACAATCAATTACGATTTCATCTTATTTGTGGGAGATGACTCAGATCTTATCAATGCTCTCAAGAAGCCATCTTCTTGGCCATCTCACAAGTATTTTTCTTCCCAACTATTGCCTATGCTTCAAAGATTTTGTGCTTGGAAAATTGATTTCCACTCTCCGACGGATATCAAAGGAACAAAGCTCATTGCGGAAAGTGTCACCAAGCAAAATCGGTTTCAATCTTACATTTCTAGAGGCTCTCCTTCTTGGTTATCTCATTTGTATCCACTCTCACATCCATAACTTATGGATTCTCCACTGTATTAACCTTTTGTTATATATATATATTAGTGTGAAAAAAAAAATTAATTATCTAACAACACTTACATAAATAAAGTGATCAAGTGGGAAACGTTTTTTCTCGAACACTCAAGTGGGATATATTAGGCTTTTAGGCCCATTTGTGATTATCTGAGCCCATGGACTTTAGAAAATCCATAATTTCGTACGATTTTCAAATTCTATTCATTAGAGGAGAAAAAGAAAATGAAATTTCAAATCGGAGGAAAGATCGGGAGGAAGATGGCGGGATCCCTAACTGCATCAGTCCACCGAGGAAACGCGGAGGCTTCAGAAACCTTCCGATGGTTAATCAGCTTCGCTCGTTTCATTCCGTTTCCGTGTTCTCCATCTCCTTATCCAGGACTCGTTCCTCTCGGAAAGAGAGAGCTGAGTTCGTCGCCCGATGGGACGTGGCTGTCGACGTCTTTCTCGAAGGTGTATGTCACTCTCGTGGACGAAGTGGACAGATCCGATGTGATTCTCTCCGTTGAACTCTCCGGAAAAATCCTCGTGAGTTAAATTTCTTTAGATCGGATTTGTTAGTTGCGACTCATGGATTGGTTGTTTCTATCCGCGTGAATTTCGTGAATCGGATCTATCCGCGTTTGATTGTAGTTTCATGGATTAATTTGGATTCTCTGTTGTTTGATTGTTGTATCTCAAATTATACAGGAAGAGCACTACATTTCGAAGCTGAATTTCTCGTGGCCTCACATGACGTGTGTTTCGGGGTTTCCATCTCGTGGTAGCCGAGCGATTCTCGTTAGCTACATGGATTCTTCAAACGAGGCAACCTCCTAACACTCAGAATCTCTTTTGAAAGCTTGATGATGTAGTGTATATAAGAAGAATTTGATCATTGTTCACGAGTTAGATAGTTTATCTGTTGTGATCGAAATCTATTGTTTGTTGTTCCTCCAGATTCAAAAGTTCGCTTTAAGGTTTTCCTCATGTGATGCAGCGGTGACCTTTGTGGCAGCTCTTAAGGTTAGCTATTTACTGCAAAGAGCTGCTTTATACATGTTGATTTAGATAGAGATGATATATCGTTACCCTTACTTCAGTGTATAAGCTGCTTTTCTTTAAATTATAGCCAATGATTCCTGTGACTGTTGTTCTGTTTGTAGGAGAAACTCAAGGGCTTTGAGGAAGCTGGGATCCAGGAACGTGAGTTCGATACTAGTTTCCAGTCAGATTACAACCCTGGAAATGAGATTATCCCCAGGTTATATATCACATTACAATGTTGCAAAATCTTACAAGTGTTTTTGCCAACAATGTCGATATAGTAAATTCTCTTTGCAGAGCGACTGAGGAAGAGCCAAACATGGTAAACTATCTTGGTAGCTATGTCCCTGAAAGGCAACCAAGGCTTGAGTATCAAACTGGTCAAACCTTTTACCAATCACAGTTCGCCACTGTGGAAGAGCCAAACATGGTGAAACGTCTTGGTAGCTATGTCCCTGAAAGGCAACCGAGGCTCGAGTATCAAACTGGTCAAATCATATACCCGCCACAATTCGCCACTGTGGAAGAGCCGAGCATGGTTAAACATCTTGGTAGCTATGCCCCTGAAATGCAACCAAGGCTGGAGTATCAAACTGGACAAATCTTATACCCACCACAACAGTCCACGCTTAGTCAAATTCGTAACGAGCCTTTCAGTGACCTCCCTCCAAGTTTCACCACCTTACTCTCTGGTTGCTTCCCTAACTCCACTCTAGGTAATCTCCACAATTGATCTTTACTTGTTCTGGTTTAACGTATATAGCTTGTTTCATACTTTTTGTTAACAAGTTCTTTTCCCATGAAACTGGGTATAGATGCAGGCCAAACAACTGTGAAGCAGGATCCTGATCTAAAGTCACAGATACTGGTATAGCATAACAGCTCGAATTTCGTCTCTTTCTAACACACTAACACTGTTCTAATGATTTCTTCTGGTTTTTGGGATTCCAACCTTTTGTTTTGACAGAAGTACATGGATGATTCTTCATTTCAAGGTGTGTTTTCTCTCTAACGCCTATAGAGACAATCATAACCCATTTACATTGGGAATAGATTTCAGATTCAACTTCACTTAGTATATTTCAAAAATCTACCGTCTATAATATGTAACAAACTGTTTCCTCATTATCCAGATATGCTGCAGAAAGTAGAGAGGATTATGGAAGAAGTAGGAGGTAACTGGATTGTCTGAGTTTCATCTCATATATATATATAGGTACTCCCAATCTTACATTCCAAATCCAGTATTGTGCTTGATGAAACATATATGGTTTAATCTGAACATATATTAGACATTGTTGGTTTTCAACTTGTGAATGAGACCACTATATACTAGAACATTTCTGAATATCAAATGCACACCCCTAAGTCCTAAATTCTTCTTAGTTATATCAAATGTCATTTCATTTTCCTTGTCAAGTACTATATATTATAACACTATATATTATAACATTCTGATAATCAAATTTCTTGTCAAATACTATAGATTATAAAAAAAGTCCCTTTTTAATGCAATATCTGAATATGAAATTTCACTTAAAGTAAACTTCTTTTTAAATTGTGGTTAAAGTTTCTGGGTGTTAAACCGGTTACAGTTGGTGAGAGAAAAAAAATCAGGTTTCCGTCTATATTTTCTTTTTGTGGTAATCTAGAATTTAAAATTACAGCTATACAATAATATTTGATAATTTGTATGGGATTTGTTGAGCAAAAATAAATAAATAAAAAATCGTTAAAGTTTAATTTGGACTCAACGCGAGTATCCAAATATCAATAGGTCAATCAATGAATACGACCAAAAAAGCAAAAGAAGGAATTCAATCATAATGTTTTCGAATTTCCTCGAAAGCTTATACGATGGCATCGGAGACGATGAAGCCAACGACGACGACGACGACGAGAACATCCCGAAAACTCCAACGGAGAGACACGTCCCTGAGAGAAACACCGATCGTTTGCCTCCGATGTCACCGGAAGAGGAGGAGGCTCAAGCGCGCGGCGTGAAAGATGACCTGTCGGAACTCAGCCATACCCTCTCGCGTAAATTTCGTGGCGTCGCTAACTTTCTCGCTCCGTTACCTGAGAGATCTTCCTCCGATCTATCGAATCCCAGATTGAGCCAATCTCGTTCTTCAGATCCCGAATTGAATCGATCGTCGTCTTCCGATCCCAGGCTGAATCGCTCGTCGTCTTCTGATAACAGGCTGAATCAATCGTCTTCCGATCCGAGGCTGAATCAATCGTCGTCTTTCGATCCCAGGCTAAATCAATCTTCGTCTTCAGATCGGCTTGAATCGTGTGTTGGAATTGATACGCGAGAGACCGAGATTAGAGATAAGAGCTGGAATTCGGATACTCTAGAAGATAAAAGGTTAGAAGATTTACACAATGATCTGGAGGAGGAGGAGGAAGAAGAAGAAGAAGAGGAAACAGATGAAGAAGACGAAGAAGAAGAGGAAGAAGAAGAAGAGATGGATGCAGCTGCTCTCACGGACGAAGTGTTAGCATTTGCGAGGAACATAGCAATGCATCCAGAAACGTGGTTAGACTTTCCTCTCGACCCCGAAGAAGACCTTGATGGTAACGCTAACCTACACTCACTCTATTTTGGACTTGATCGAAAAAGATTCTTAGAGTTTTTTGGCATTTAGCATATCAAAGTTTTGTTGTTTTTTGTCAATTTGTATCTGGTTGTAGATTTGGAAATGTCTGATGCACAAAGAGGTCATGCTTTAGCTATAGAACGTCTTGCTCCGAGGTTAGCTGCTTTAAGAATAGAGCTTTGTCCATGCCATATGACTGTTGGTTACTTTTGGAAAGTGTATTTCGTTCTTCTCCTCTCAAGGCTTAATAAACACGATGCTCAGCTTTTGTCTTCGCCACAGGTTAAACTCTACTCAAATCTTCTTCAATCCAACATGATTGTTGTTGTTGTTACTCGATTTAACCCTTTTTTGTTTTGTTTTCAGGTAATGGAAGCAAGAGCATTGTGGATGAAAGAGCTTCAGAGTCAAAACAGTTCCACGAAAACAGATTATGGAGATATTCTTAAAGAGGAGATTACACCATCAACTTCAAGTTACTACAACCATGCTCCTCCTGAGTTTCTGTCTCCAAGAATATACGCCTTTGAACCTCCTTCAATCATGTATCGTGATTTCGAAACGGCAGATCGTGGTTCTGGTTCTGAAAATGCAGAGTTCATTGATAAAGCTGTTATCGAGGAAAAACCAATCCAGAAGAACAACGAAAAGAGTGAAAGCCTAAGCGTGACACTCAACGAAGATGATGACGATGATGATTGGCCAGAAGAGGAAGATGATGCTCATGATTGGGCTCCAATGTTCACAGGGAATGAGGATGATGTTTCTTTCAGTGATCTCGAAGGTGACGATGATATAAGTAGCTTAGCACTCAAGTCTAAGAATACCTCAAAGAGCACAGACCAAAAAGGAACATGATACCATCATCTCGGTCTTGTTGCTTTGCTCTACCTCGAGGTTGAATCAATGGAACTGAACATAGAAGGATTAGTACCGAGTCAAAGCGTGAGTTTTTGGGTGAGTTTGATTATTTGTCAAATGCAAAAAAAAAAAGGTTTTGAAACATGTACAGAAGATTTCTTGGGTCACCACTTGAATTGCATTGTATTGTTTTCTTCCCTCTTCACCAATGTAATGAAATATTGGAAAACATGTGATAAAAAAAATGTGAAACGTGTTTAATATCTGATGATACTTGATTACATGTCAAAGATCTCAATTACCATTGACAAAGATCAAAATTTGCAGAAGCTACGAAATTAGACTATTGATGATCAAAGAGGAGAATATTAAGCTGTTATAGCAACACAGCAAACACGACGCCGTTTCGACGGAGTAAAATCATGAGTTTTATTTTAATGTGTTGTGTGTCGTCTCTCTCTCTAAGCCATTATGAATCAACGACCCACAGGAGCAAGAACGAAATCGTCAGATCGTGAATAAAGACATTTTATCGAAACCACTCGAGCTACGTTAGCTCATCTAAGCATAAATTCATCAGATCTCGTGGATTAACTTCTTCTGTTTGATCGGATCTGATATCGCAATCCTTGAGAAAACATGGCAGGGGCGGCCTCCGCGCTGTTTCTGCTCGATATCAAAGGCCGTGTCCTCGTATGGCGCGATTACCGTGGCGATGTCACCTCTGCTCAAGCCGAACGTTTCTTCACCAAACTCATCGAAAAAGAGGTTTCACTACTCTTCCCATGATTGATTTCTATTTAGATTTTCATTCATTCTGAGATTCTCGTGAATAAACATTGGGAACGGATGAGCAAAGCTTGATTAGTTGTTACACGATTGATATTTAGATTAGGATTTGATCAGTATCAATACAATTTAATACTCTTCTCATTGGTTGATTTGTTGTAATCTTTTTCAGGGTGATTCACAGTCTAATGATCCGGTTGCTTACGATAATGGTGTGACCTACATGTTTGTACAGCATAGTAACATTTACCTCATGATTGCTTCTAGGCAGAACTGTAACGCCGCTAGTCTTATCTCCTTCTTGCATCGCGTTGTCGATGTAAGCATGAAGCATCCCTACTTATTCAGTTTTTTTTTCACAAAATAACACTAACTGTTTCAATTGATACTGATCAGTGATCATTTCCGTGTTTATTAGGTCTTCAAGCATTACTTTGAGGAGTTGGAGGAAGAATCATTGAGGGATAACTTTGTGGTTGTGGTATGTTACTGCTTCTCCCTTCTGATCTTGTAAAATACTCTCGTGATGAATATGTGTGGGGCGAAACAAATATTAGAGGCTGAAGTTGACTTGTGTTGGTGGCAGTATGAGTTACTTGATGAGATGATGGACTTTGGTTACCCTCAGTATACTGAAGCAAGGATCCTTAGTGAGTTCATCAAGACTGATGCTTATAGGATGGAAGTTACTCAAAGACCTCCGATGGCTGTCACTAATGCTGTTTCTTGGAGGAGTGAAGGGTTACAGTTTAAGAAAAACGAAGTAGGTGAAACATTGTCTTAGTTGGTTAAGGTTTCCAAATGTTTATAGACTAATGTCTTGTTTTCCAGGTTTTCTTAGACGTGATAGAGAGTGTAAATATCCTTGTGAACAGTAATGGGCAAATTGTGAGGTCTGATGTCGTTGGAGCATTGAAGATGCGAACATACTTGAGGTGTGTTTTCTACTGTTCTTCCATCAAGTTATCATCCAAAGCATGTTAGATCAAATCGCCCTCCTCATTGACTCTCTGCTTCTTAATACATGGTTATTACAGTGGAATGCCAGAGTGTAAGCTAGGTCTGAATGATAGAGTACTGTTGGAAGCACAGGGACGAGCGACAAAAGGAAAAGCAATTGATTTGGAGGACATCAAATTTCATCAGTACGCTTTCCTCATGCTAACTCCAAGACAATCTTTGACAGTTACTTATCCCCACCACTGTTTTACAATACTTGAGTTTCTACATGGGTCTTGAAAATTGCAGGTGTGTTCGATTGGCACGTTTTGAGAATGACAGGACGATATCTTTCATACCACCTGATGGGGCTTTTGATTTAATGACATATAGACTCAGTACCCAGGTTCGAAATGTTGAATAATTGCACATATGTTTTTTTCCCCTTATAAAATACCAAATCTCATGAAATGTTCTTTCTTATACATGATACTTGTTCAGGTTAAGCCTCTTATATGGGTTGAAGCTCAGATAGAGAGGCATTCCAGAAGTCGTGTTGAGATGCTAGTAAAAGCTAGAAGCCAGTTCAAGGAGAGGAGGTAACTAGTAACCCTTGGGTGACTTTGTTTGATATTTACGCTTTTACCATAAAACGTTTCAATAAGAGTTACCTTTTTTGCAGCACTGCAACGAATGTTGAGATCGAGTTACCTGTACCAACTGATGCATCCAACCCCACCGTAAGAACATCTCTAGGGTCTGCCGCATATGCTCCCGAAAAAGATGCATTGGTTTGGAAAATTAAATCTTTTCCTGGGAACAAGGTAAGTGTGCATGATTTTTAATGTAATCATTGATCATATAATGTTGAGTGCCTTGACATTAAAGCTTTTAAACAATGTAGGAGTATATGTTGAGAGCAGAGTTTCATCTTCCAAGTATAACCGCAGAGGAAGCCACACCTGAGAGAAAAGCTCCTATCCGTGTCAAATTTGAGATCCCATATTTCACTGTTTCAGGAATACAGGTTAGTTAGTATGTAATAGTTTGGGGATTTTCTATGTTTCTGCACTCAAATCTGAAGGCAAACCTTATAATCGAAGCATCCTGATATTTGTTTATTGTATGTATTGCAGGTTCGTTACCTGAAGATCATTGAGAAGAGTGGGTACCAAGCTCTTCCGTGGGTGAGATATATAACTATGGCTGGTGAGTACGAACTCAGACTCGTGTAATATGAGATCTGTGTTGTTTTTGTTTTTTTTATTTACGCCATTGTCAGCAAAACTAAACAGAGGAAGATGAAAAGAAAAAAGAAAAAAGAGATTTGAAAATTTGTAGTTGATGAAATTTACAGTGAAGGTTGTTCTAGAAGCCCATAATTCTTGTGAATTGTTTCATGGTCTTTTCTCTTTATTTTTCATGTAATCTTTTTATGACACTTTTATTTTGGTTAAAATTGTTAAACAGACAATTTTGATTTGTTCTTTTAGTGGCCAACCGAGTTCTTTCTGATAGTTCTTGCCACTTAGTCATAATCATAGACAATCTAATGATTGTTACTTTTGAGGATGATAATGACACGGAAAATATAATATGACTTGTATCATCCTAAACCCTAATGGGATTCAGATTAGTAGGCCACCAACATGACAAAACAACAAATGTATTATACATTTTTAAAACGAAAGTTTACAACAAAACGAGAGAGCATAGTAACAGTAAACATATCTGAACTGATGAATTGCCTAAAGAATTAAGGCCCAACGTCCCCTAAACACTTGAAAATGAAAAAAAAAAATGAACAATGTACAAAGCTGTTTTTCTTGGACTACCAATGAGGAGAGCTAGGAGCACGAGGAGATTGATTAGGAAGAGTCTGAGGAATCTTTCTAAAAACATGTTTCCTGCAACGTTGGAAGATACTGTCATATATAAGATCAAATTGCACTCCAGCTCTCTCTCTATTCACAATGAACGTTATATGATCTGCTTCCACAATCTTATAATACCTGCAAGCACACAGAAACAAAACCATTTTTTCATCCCATCAACATTCATTTCCCACTCTTATGGACTATATGTTATATAACAATATTGAGATTCACTCACCAGATTCCAGGTTGTAACGTTTGACATTCCGAATCACTCCTTATGAACCGGCTTGGATGCTCAACTGGTAACCTCGGATGGGTCATTGATATCGTGTTCATTGCACCATCATTCTCTTGCCACTCCTCATCCCTTCCATTCAATAACATTTTTAGATCCCATCAAGAACTTCAAGAATGAAAGGTTTTTAAAATTTGAATGTCTTTACCTGTAGCCTTTATAAGGAGGAGAAACATCTTGTGGGAACCTCCACTGGCTCATCTGAAAGACACGGAGGAAGAGCATAGGATGGATGCCAAGAACACCTGAAGGGACTGTCATCCCCATGATTCTACGAGTGCGTTTAGTGGCATAGCTGAAGTAGTAAGTGCTTGGGAACGTCTGAAGATTTGAGTTAAGGCTTAGGGACCCTTGGATGGTGAGATCAGGCAAGATCCAGTCACCAGTAGCAAAAGGACCAGTGTTTCCGACAAGGCAATCAACTAAACCTCTCACTCCTGTCGTCTTCCAAGAGATGTTGAAGTGATCAAACCCAAAGTTGTAATAATTCTTTAGCCATGAAATGTCTAACCAATCGTACATTATCACGCCTATACGACATATCTGCAACAGACATATCGGTTTCATGCTTATTCCATCTTCTGTCCTGTATTAACAAGAAGACACATTTGCTTCAAAAAATTATCAAACCTTAATCTCAAAATGCAGAAAAAGAATTGAGATGTTCAAGAAGGAAACTAACCTCATGCCATCTAAGTAAGTCCTGGTAGTACCATTGAATGCTCCGGACAATGATGTCACACTCAGAACCCAATTCTCATTCGTTTCTTCAAACCCTTCAAACGCCTAACCATCACCAGTTTGAGACATATGTGTTAGCAATCAACAAACAAAGCTTTTAAACCAATAGTACATTCAACACAAACCTTATCTGCAAGCATTTGCTGCAACACGCGTACAACTTGAGCACCTGCTGAATGCCCCACGAAATGAATAGGATGATCCTCATCCCATTCAGGGTATTGACCTAAAAACACACACATACCAAAAATCAGAATACCAAAATCAGATGCACATTTTCTTCTGTCTTTGAATGAGAGTTTCACATCAAAACCTAACCATTTCCATAATCTCTTCCAAACCGAGAATGTCCACAAGCTTCACTATGCTCTTCACCAAAATCAACTCTTCCTCCTTTCAAGTAATAAAACAATTCCCTTGCTCTGAAAAAAACCATTGTTACCACATCAGCATAATGATTTACACAATAGGATAAAAAAAATTTGCATTTCAATACCTATCATAGATGCTTGTTAAGGATCCCAAATCAGGAACAAGAACCCTCTCATCTTTCTTCTCAGCACCACCAAAGTATGATAACCCTCCTAATCTCTGCTCAAAATCAATAAAATCAAAACCCACAAAAATATAATAAAAATAATACAAAATTTCAAGTTTTTTTTTTCTTTTGCATTATTATTACCCCTTTGCCAAATCCAAAGATCCCATGAACCAATACAATAGGAGGCAGACCATCAACATTGCTCTGACTTATTTGATCTGTTTCTCCTCCTCCTACATTTGACTTGAACAGATAATCACTCAACTTCTGAGAAACATCTCCGGCCACGGCGGTGCTGAATATATAAAACCCATAAATCAAATGCACCACAGAGCTCACGAAAAGCTCAGCGAGTTGAAGACAAGCCACCATCCACAACTTCATCATCATCTTCCCTCAAAAAACACAAAAAAAAAAGGAATCTCCTTTATCTTAAAGAAACACTCCCCGAAACAGGGGAGACAAATGCAGAGAGACCCTTGTGAGGTTTCTTCAAAACAACATTAAAAGGATGTTCCTTTGACGAAGAAAAAAAAAACCCAGAAAAAAAAAAAGGAGAAAACTTTGAAATTTTCCCGAGAAAGTTGGCAACGTCTCTCTCTCTCTTTCTCTTATATTATCCAAATGTTATTTTGGCATCCACTTGTATCTATTGCCCACCTCTCGCCAATCCTTTTAGCTGAAGCATGCCATGTGTGAATGAATCCTGACCTCTCTCTTACAAAAGCTCCTCGAGTTTCCGCAAATATTGTAATGGATTTAAGGCCCACTTTTGTTGTTTTTTTAATTGTTGTTATTGTTTTTTGGTGGATTGTGATTGGTTGAGAGGAACGGCGAAGCACGCTGGATCGGCGCTGGAAGATTGGTTCATGATATCAAAATGTATCTTCTGCTTTGATGTAACCTTATCTTGTTTAATCATATAATCCAAACTAAATTTTAATTAAGTTGTATATAAATTTATAATCACTAATCGGTATTTATTATTTATCATTAATATTTTTTTAAAAAATTATGAATTTATAAGAAGGCTAATTATATAGAAATGTAATGATATCATCAATCATAATATTTTTGGTGGCGTTACTCGTTAGATGTAGTTAGGACTGGGCGTTCGGGTACACGTTCAGATTCGGATCTGGTATATCGGATATCAGTTTTTTTTTGTAACACCTTTTAGGTCTCATTTTAAGAAATTCTTAAATTCGGATCGGGATCGGATATAACACATCGGTTTCGGTTCGGATTATACTGAAGTTACCATATATCATTTGGGTTCGGATTTTACTGTATCGGTTTCGGATTAACTAAAGTAAAATTCAAAGAAAACAAATAAACAAACACTCATAAGTTGACTAGATAAGAACGAAGAAACATGTCTCTCAAAATTAATAAACTCAAACTTAGTAAAAATGTTTGCAACAACACACTAATACCGATAATAACAATATAAAGTTTTAAAATGGAAAACAAACTGAGACAAAACCGCAAACAGATTACTATGATTCATATGACACAGAAGACTCAGATTGAATTCTGAAAATCAAGTCCTTTTCGGATTGAGTTCTTGAAATCAAAGATGGTGGAGGAGATAGAGAGAATTGCATGTTTGTGTTTCTGAACATACTCTTCGATCAAACACCTTATTTTAATAGGAGATTAGGTTTTTGAAACTAGAAGAAGAGGAATCGCCCCTAAGATTATTATGAAATGTGTGGTTGTGTCTAGACTTAGTTGTGTCTTAGAATTGAAAATAACAAAGTGTGGTTGTGCCTTCTCGGAAATTGTCAAAATCAAATAATGATTAATACGTGTATATACTTACTGTACATTATACATATAATTCGTTATTTCGGGTTTTAGTTCGGATATCGGAATAAACTGAACATGAACCCGATAACCAAAGTATCAGCATATCAAACCCGATCGAGTATTTTGAAAGATCCATAACCGGTCGGATTCGGATTTTTCGGTTTGGGTTCGGGTTCGGTTTCAGATTATGGATAATATGCCCAGGCCTAGATGTGGTGTAGATAAACTTTTAACAGAAACGTAGTCTCATGTGGAGGTTAAGTATAATTTTGGGTTCTGTTGGCAATAGAGAAGTTTATTTTTTGTTATGTGTAATGTGGAATTTATTAAGTAACATTATTGCCACATCAAAAAAAAACATTATTGGCATTTGCTTTGCCGGTTCTTTAAGAAAACAATATTCTGAACACAGAAGTGGTATTTGAGTGGATGATAATATTAATGTACAGAACTTCTTGTTTTTTTTTCTTTTATGGCAAGAAATTTAGGAGTATCAGAAATAATGTTAGGCGAATGTGGACTACCACTTGATATAACTTTCCTTCTTCGTCGAATCAAAGATACTGCAAGACCTTTCAAGTGCATTTAAGTTTTTGCGGATTCAACTTTTGACAACAATCTTTTATTGAAGTTGTCCTTTGACCAATGATATGGATATTGATTCATTTATCTGTAGATGGACAACATGTTGTGATCAATAATTTTCTTTTTGTAATCAGGGAAAAGAGTTGTGATAGATTGAATTTGTGTAATTTAGGCTGATTGTTATTCAGATTGAAGGTTCAACCATTAGGGTGTGTGTGATCTTGATTCTTGAATAAGGTATAAAAAGAGTGTGTTGTGATAAAACTGAACTTGGTAATCTGTGTTGGTTATATTAAAGGTTCAAGTGATTCTACGGTACCGATGTAACACTCATTGAATCATTATTTTTAATAAAAATTTGTATTCAAATTTTGGAACAAAATCATTCCCACATTGCTCAAACTGTACATGTTTGATTTCACTATTACTTCAAATAAACAAATATTATTTTTAATATAGTTTTTATATTTCATCCAATGTGTTTTCACATTTATACATAAATGAACACTACTCAAAATTATAAATGACCATAATATATGAATTTTCACTTTTTCTCAAAATTAAATCCCTAAACCTAATTACATTTATAATTCTAAGGACATTTAGGATTTTTTCCTGGCCCTCCGTAATAAAAATAATTACCCCAAGCCTTATTAGATCCACCTTGAATATCATAACAATTTGGATGATCTGCGAGTACTCGAAGGTTTGGAGAAGGGACCAAATTGTTATCCCAATCAACTACTTGGATGTTTCTGAAATAAGAAGATTTTGTGAACCCTTCCTCTGCAAAATGTCCACTCCCCATCTGTGTCGAAGTGTGGGCCCCAAATGGGCTTGAATTTACAACTTCGCCACCGTATTGGACCATGCTCGCGTGCTCCCTCAAGTGTGTAAACAAGAAAGATGGCCAATACCCAACTAGAATACCCGACCCGAATTCCAGCCACCAGTTCCCGTGCTTCGGATCCTGAACATTAATTTTAGTTTTAACAATTAAACACGTATAAATCATCTGTTTTCATAATTCACATCTATTTTGCATGAAAACCTGAAAAGACATATCTAAGTTCTTAAAATCAGACTGCTTTAGCCACAACTTATTACAAAGAGATCAGGAGAGGAGAAGATATAATCTCTCAGCAAATATACCTGGCCGAGGAGTAGTCTATCTAACTTACATACATCACATGAAATATGAATGAAGTCAATTATTTATCATATATTTTCACTGTACATGAATTTTAATGCACCACAAAATGAAGAATAAAATGTTTATTTAATCTGCATGTTGTCTTCTGAAAAATATAATATGAAAAATGCACACCTTTAATTATGACCCATGTGAGGCTAGGGAAAAAAAAATAGTACTATCGTTTATGTAACTCATGAGCCACGCTCATAGCATTGCTTTGAGAGTTGGTATGTTGAACTATTTGGGGACAAATGTATCAAAGAAATGAAAAGGAATAACTTGGAACAAAAGTAAAGAGTGTATGTAATAAGTGGTATGATACTCAAGTATACTTTCCTTTTTCTTAGAAATGATAAAAAGAGAAAGGAAAAGCATATTCTACCTAAAGTCATGCCATAGATTGATTTTTAATATGCCCTGAATTTTCAAAGGTTGAATGAATATTGTAACTAAAGTGTGGTTATAAGAGAATATATATATATATATATTACAATATATTATAATATTGTACCTTCCAAATTAGGAGAGTAATATCGAACTGTCCACCTTTGAATGAAGATGAAGGAGAGATTGCAGCTCCAATCGCAACTTGACTGTTGGTTTGGACAAAACCGGAACACAAGAGATTGTAGCAGCCAGTTGCTTGATATGCATCGTTCTGTTTCCAAAAACATAAGAGCTTATTAGTTATAGTTATAGACTTAATTAAGCTTATACAATACAAAGGTAAAACTTGCTTAGTTTTGGTATTACTTACAGTCCAGTAAGTAAAGAATCTTGGGTAATTATCTCCGTAGAGCTCCGGACTCACCTAATGGCAGATAATTATACATGATTAGCAATTAGTACCTCTTAGCAATGAAATAACTTTTATATTAAAATACTATAGAGCAATTGGTAATTTAAAATTTTAACCTATTGGTCTACTTACTAGTGAAAGTTAAAGTGTTACTTATGTACGTATTAAAAAATAATCACCTGCCAGCCAGCTTCAATGGTGTTGAGATCATTACCGAAAGAACCAGAGATTATCCAAATCTGAGATAAACTAAACTCGTATTGGTTTTGCACCTGTGGAGCCCATACATTTATGCTCGCTTTTGCTCCAAAGTATTTCTCTCCGCTCACGTATCCCACCGCGTGCTATAACCAAGTAATTAATTACACTAATTAACAATAATACAGTGTTGCTAATCCTCTTTCAATACTAGTACTTGTTTTGCATTTTCCTGGTTATGTAGCTGATGTCATTAAAACTAAATGGATATAGTAGAAACTTGGCAGAGCTTTAAATTCGTGAGAGTTTGTGTTTTCCAAATCTAGAAACTAAGGATTTATTTATATTAAATGATATTGTTTGAAAAAGTAATTTACTGACAGAATGTAGAAGAGGATTTAATCATTAATCAAAAGAAGTTTTCTTTGTAGTGTGTGTAACACAATATGCTCTCCTTTTTTGGTTGTTTTCTACCGACAAGCTTGTCTATTTTTACTTTTTCTACAATTCTCAAAAGATGATTTTTTTCTAAGGATAAACAAAAAATTTAGTTGAAAACACTTGCCAATTTCTTTGACCACTTTTTCTTATCTTCCAAAGATAGTAAAAATTTAAATTCCAAGGATTTCAAAATCTTACATTTCCAACTAATAAGAATTCGAATTTTGAATTTATAAATAATCATGAAAAAATAAATACTCTCTTTAGACTCTGCTTATTATTATAGCTGCTGGACCAAAGATCTATACAAGTTTTAATTTGAATTGAAAATATAATTATATATATATGCCTATATCTTTTGTATTTTCAAATTAAACTCATATGAGTTACTAAAATTCTTTGAATTTTTTTTTCAAGTGATGTAATTTTAAAAAAAGCCCAAAGACCAAAACAAAAAGAAGAGAAAAACTTACTTCATGGCCATTGCTGCTGGTGTCTCTTCTAAAATGTCTGAGTTTCTTGCCAAAGGCAGAAACAGAGTTTGCTCTGAGAATGTCTTCTTGTTTTGTTCTTCTGATAGGGACTGTTCCTTCAGGACATGTTTCCCCCTCCATTCTCCATAACTGAAAGCTCTTTGGTCTCAGTCCTCTGTTATTATGCCCTCTTGGCCTCTCAGGGGGATCCTTCAGTAATTAATTTCACAGATTAATTAGTTTATAATTAACGATATAATAACTGTGTAATTAAGATTTAACATATGTAATTTGTACCAGTGGCTTCTGTCCTCTTAATCTGGGATGATCAAATGCTGGTTGCTGATGTGATAAAACACAATCTATAATGTCACCATCAGAACTCTGCAACAATAAGGGGACCATGAATCAGTAAGAAGAAGAAACATAGAAGCAGAGACAGAGTGGGTTCTTGAAACAGAGCACAAAAACAAGAAACAGAGTAAAGAGAGTGTTTTTAACTTCTAAAGCAGAAGTTTATCTCACTTACATGAATAGTCTTGACGGAAGGTTTATTGATCTTCCTGAGATGCTGATTAATGGCTTTGAGCTTGTTAAGCTCCTCGAGTGGCCGGAGAGTTTGGTTTCTCGGTGAGAAATTCTCTGTTTCCGAAGACAAAGTAGAGGAAAAAGAAGAAGAAGACAAAAGAAAGAGAGAGAGGAAGAGAAAGTTGAAGTAACAAGGACGAAAGAAAATGATCATATCTAAGAAGAAGCTTCCGTTTATTCTTCTTCTTCTTCTTCCTCGTCTTCTTTCTCTTGTTTCTTCTGAGAACAACTCTGTTTCTGTTTGTCTCATTGTATTGCATCGATCGAAACGACGGCATTTAATGCCGTTTCTGGGTTTCCTCAACACGAACTCTCCTCCCATCAAACCCCAAGACGTGTTCTTGATATAAAAGAAGTTAAAAAAAGTGCACAAAAGACAAAAAAAAAACTTTGTTTTTATAATCTTCTCAAACTCTCACCATTACCAAAGCTATTACTTCATCTCAAACTCAAACAAAGGATCAATAACACTCTCATTGTCTTCTTGAGGTCTTATGTCAATAAAGAAAGAGTTAGAGAGAGAGAAATAGGAGTAGAGAGAGTATTAAAAGGGGTTTATGGAATTGTGGTGTCCTCAAAGTAATAGTCTAAGTGTTTATATGTCTTGGAGATATAAATACTTTGGGTAGTGATGAAATCATTCATGCCTTTGTTTTCTTTAACCTCTCCAAGAATATTAAGGAACCAAACTTTTTTTCTTTTGTGACAAAATCATAAAATCCACAGACATAAAGTGACGACATAAAGTGAATAAACAAAATCTAACTACAATGCTTTTTTATTTTGGTCCATGGCTGAATAAAATGAGTATGCATAGTTTAAATAAGATTAGATAAGCTTACTAGAAGATTATTTCACAAGAGATTATTTAGTCTGATTAATGAGAGAGCTTTCGAATAGTAATCTTACAAAAATTGTTTGCAGTACTATAATCCTATTTAAGGTATGTATGTGTTTGCACTTTAAATCGAGTTTTGGGGACTATGTGATTCAAACTATTCTAAATCTGTTTTTTACCCCTAGGATTTGTTAAGACGTCAATTTTACGACAGTAAACTAGCAAGTGTGAAGATGGACCATACTCTAATATTAGACCTTGAACCTTAGTTTTGACCTTAGGATTTATGCTCTATTTTATGTGTCTCCACTGTATTTTCAAATAGTATTATCAAGAGAAATAACATAGTATCAATCTGATACGATATATTATGTTGTTATTCTCAAACTCTTAAATGTAAATATCCGTTGCAAGTGAAATCAAATTAATATAATATAAGCTGGTCAAAAGATAAAAAAAAAATGTTGGGGGAGACTGGAGAGGAAGTGTTCCCAAGCAGCAATACAAAGCCTGAAAATTGTATGTTTGTGTGTGTGTGTAAATATGTATATAGCCAAAAATAAAGGGAAGTCTTGTGTTTGCTATGTTCCTTATGATAATGACAGTCAAAATTTTGTGTTCTTCTTCTTGTTTTACTTTCTGTTAGTTAGCGTTCTCTTTTTGTTTTAAGAAAACATTTTCGTCATATCTTTTAAGAGACAAATCGAGGCATTTATAATTATAAACTAGTGCTTTGACCCGCGCGCCCGCGCGGTTATTTTTTCATTTTTATAGCTATGTATATTTGATTTATAAAATAAAAAGTATTATTTATAATTTCTGTTTTATACTGTGTAATTTTATAACACTGTTTTGTGTGTATTATTCGCTATGCTTATGTTATCTTGTGTCTGCATGACTTTTAGTCTCATATACTAACTAATTTGCTTGTGTACACAAGTGGTTTCTACTGTTATGTTTTTGTTTAGAAATTAGAATGCAGTCTTCAATCACCACTTGTATCTACCTGCAATGACTTATTATTCCAGGTGTAAATGTTAGTTAAAGCCGTGAAACTCACTCTGAAAGGAAAGATTCCAATTGCATTAGAACACAAGTATCAGACAGTCAGAGGAAACAACCTTCGCTATTATATTCTCCACGTAATTTAAACTTTGAGACTTTGCTGATCAAAGGCACACCAAAAATTAAACCAATCCTTTCGTTGTTATAGCTTATTCTCATCATTTTATTCTTCTCGCTGGTATTAGGAAAGCTTCCACCAGGTGCCCAAAGACGTGGTGTGAAAGAGTTCGTAGACATGGTTGATTGATAAGCATTTTGCATTTTACCAAAATTTGGTATTTCTTTTTGTAGAAACCAAGTTAATTGTAAAGATCAATCTTATAGTGAGAGTTGGTGTCTAGAAGACAAATTTTTGTTATCTTTAAAGTTTTCAGGTGAGATTTGATTGTTAAGCATATCGCAGTAAAAACAATCAGTGTCGTTTTATTGTTGTCATTACTTTATTACACAATCTGATAAATCTCATCAGCCACAACTTTGCCGGTAAAAGTCCCTCTTTCATCACAGTCATAACAATTCCAATGAGTCAGATCCTCTGCTTCTCTTTATGATAATGAACTTGTGCTGCACTCCTACACGAAGCCTAGAAAGCATTTGCAGATTCGTTACATTTTGTGGTGATTCTTACAGAGAGAGAAAAGTCACCACGTAAGCTAGAAGAACACATTTGTTCATCTTGAGGCCCCACCAGTGTTTTAATGAACAATGTGCACTTTTACGTGGATAGTCCTGACTGAAAAATGAACAGTCAAAAGAGGTAAAGCTAAAGACTTTCAATATTTTGTTTGCAGCTAGTAGTAAAAAGGCATATGGAAGAGGAGAGTTGATGGAAGCTTCTGGCAATGAAAATGCAGGTTTAGTTTCTTAACTATGAATCCTACTTTTAGGAACCAAAAATACCTTTAATGATAACTCTCGACCATAGTTTGACGCAGAGAATATCGTGACTAATCTTTGTTTTGAGAAGAACTTGTACCAATCTTCCACTACTTGCAAACATGGCAAAGTAAACCATAAAGGTATCTCAACTAATGTCATACAACTCATAAAGGGAATTAAAAAACTCAGAATTGGTTATAAGTTTAGCTTCTGGGAGATTTTTTTTAACCTGCGGTCAAGATCCTTCTGATCCAAGAACTCAGCGACTACATCGACTCCAAATGTGCAGGAAATACGTTGATCACTATCAGACCATCCTTCACTCTTCTAATCAGAATCAGACCAAAGTAAATGGCAAAAAAGACAGTTGTCTAGAACCTTTGTAGATTTTTAAATCTCTCTGGTCTACCCCAAATATCCAGTTCCAGTGACAATCCTCCGTGCATACACAAGTTCTCTTCGTCAATGAGATCAGCAACATGCACACAATTGACGCAATAGGTGAATCTCTGTTTGCATTCTTCATAGAAGCCATAAATCTTGTTGATCTTAGATCTTAGTGTCGTTTCCCATAGAAACCTACGATTTTGCTGGTTCGATTAGGGTAAGTCTAAAGACAAAAACATCCTTAAAGAGAATTTCAGTTTTTAATATTTATTTTTAATTAATAATCCAATGGCATGAGTATGTAATTATTGTGTAAAACTCAGGGTTAAGTACAAAATGTACTTCCCTTTTAATAGATTAGATATATTTTATTGTTAATTCTTGAAGTTCTTTTTTATATTTTCTCTCTTCCCTATATGTTCCTCCTGTCAGCTTCCATCTCCTCCTTTTCTTTTATACTTAACACTATATATTTTGAGACAATAAAAAATAAATATTTGACGTCTTGATATTTGTAAACACTATTTACTCAATATGTCATATTTGGAATAAAAGATGTGAGCTTAATTAAGTTAAAAAAAAAATCTCGACAAAGTTTAAAAAGCTAGAAATATAATCGTCTAATGAGAGCCTTAGAAAAGAAAATACATTTAAGTATTTCTATTTTCCAACAAAATACATCAAAAGAAAGTTAATCTGCACTTCGTTATCAAATACATGCAGAATTTTAATGCTTTTTAGTCTCAACTCTGTCCAAACTATGATTCTGTTAGCATTAATGAATCGATTTCTTCATTAATCAACATAAAAAAAAAAAGCATTTAGAAATCGGAATACTCGATTTCAAGTTTGACAAATTAAGAATTTGTTGGACTTTAGCGTAATTAATGGCGTTGTTGCAGCATGGATACGTTGCTCAATACATTTGAAGTCACGTAACCTACTTTAGTAATGTGTAACCGTTGTAGAAACAAAGTTAAACAGCATCAACATGTTGTATACAATAAAACAGTTATTAGTTGGCACGCGCGGCTGGGTATTAGCAATGCATGCTCGAGTGAGTGCGTATGTTGGGGACCCATCCATGCATGCCACCCTTAATCTATTCCCTCCAATTATCATTACTTGTTTCTCTATTTGTAACTATTTTATTGTAAAACAACATCGAATTATGTACGTACCGTTGTATACTAATATATCTATAAAACAATACGTATATAGTTCTGTGCTTCATAGTTTTAGTATTTTTTTTCCGTCCATTACATGATAGATATATAATCTTAGTTTGTGTCAGCATTAATGGACATAATTAATACCCGCAGTTAACGGGTCTAGTAGATAAGGTCACAGTAATTTACTCAACCAACAATATACACATGCACATGATGTTCAAATCATGGACATGATAAAATATATGGCAATTGGCAAACATAGTTTTGATACTTGTCGTCATAGCTTGAAAATAGGCATAGAAACCTTGAAAAGCTGAGATTCGGGAGCTACTACACACGCTATATAGTTTGAGATATATACCCCTAAACTATATTATTAGATATAAATCTGTTAATTCATGTACCAAGCTATGGGTTATCAAAAAAAAAAAATTCATGTACCAAGCTATAGATTTTTCCACAGTTCCACTATTAAAATGGATTCTTAAAAGATGAAGAAAGAAACCTTAAACTTGTTAGTTAAGCATTGAGTACGACAATTAATACTAATCCTTCCTTTGATTTTGCGTAAAACTCAAAACCAACACATTACTCATTAGTCACCTCATACTAGTATTTATCGTGAATAGTATACCACAATCTTTAAATATATGATTACGTTCATTTTACGGATCATCTGAATTTTTCCTAGACCACTTAAAGTGAGTCCCTTGATTGACACTCTATGTTAACCAAGATTTTGAAAACACAAATTCAATATCTCTTTGTGTGAGAGAGATATATACACAAATCGCAATACTTGGGATCATTTGGTCAAACTGGTACTGTGATTTCTACATATTATTGTGGTTTCTATTTACGTGCACACATTTGGATTTGTGTGCTTTAAATGTGGATATACATTTCTATTATTTGAACTACTGAGAGTCTGAGATGGTGGTTGGCTTCAGAGAAACCCACTCGTGAGATTCCAATACAAATACATTAAATTAGTAGAAACCAAAAAATAAAAAGTAGAAATAGAGAAGAAAACAGAAATGTCAAAGAAGCTGGTGGTTATCATTTGGCAGTTAACTTAACATAGAATAGCATCTCATTTCGTGAACGTTCCCAAGTTTCTGTTGTGTAACCTTAATGAGAAAATAAATTAAAATTTATCTGTATACTTTATCATAATTTGACTCTGTATGCTGCAGTCTATAACTTGCCTAAGTTAATTAGAATTGTAATGACACCTTTGAGTCACAAAACCATAAAGGAAAAACGTCACGTAGTCTCTTGCTCGACCACTGAAACGGCAAGCAGTTTCCGTTACTCTGAAGAAACCACGAGAAAGCAAGAAGTAGCTTCCAACTCCAGTATAAATGTTTTTTTTTTAACTGATAACGAAGGTAAAGAGTTATTGCGTAGAGTTTGTCATACATACCAGAAAATGTTTGCTTACATTTTAGTGGTAATGCGTACTAAACAATTTAATCTATATGCTTATGATATATACTCTTTGCTTATAGAGCAAATAATAAGTTCACTGGACAAAGAACGTGACGTATACACTGATAAGTGGTCGGAGAATTTGATCACACTTGTGGTCGTGTCTGGACAACATAGAGCTTCCCGTCTCTGATCACCCCTTCAATGTCTTGAGCAGTTCCATACAGCTTCTCAATGGCATCTCCAGCGCGTGCAATATCTGAGAGGATCTTTTTCTGGAAGCTCTCGTCCGTGATCAGAGGATCTGTTGTGTAATCGAGCACGACTTTGTCTTCCTCGTCCATTGGTACACTGCCAAACAAAAAAAAAGGAGAAGTTTCATTGTTCGGCAAGTGTTGTTGAAAGACAACGACAAGAGGTTTTGAGTTTTGTTTATGTTACCTGTCGTAGAGACCTGCACCTGCATAACCTTCGAGATCCTCTCCGTTAGAATCAGACCTGAAGATGATTGAACGTCTTATGAACAGTCCAATCGGTTTGCTCGGGTAACCCAACACCTGAAATAATGAAGTTTGGCGGGAATTATTTAACGGTATTGACAACAAAAACACCAGTGGTTAGCTTTTAGTACCAGTGGAGAATCGAGGTTGTTTTTCTTGGTGATGAAACTCAGAGACCGACCAGGATATGCTCCTACAAGAGTTTCACCAAGGCCTTTGACAACCTGAAACCAAAAATAGTCAGGTGAAGTTGAAAGATGCATTGAACGGAGAAGTAAAGATCTTTTTACCTCGGCGTAAATCTCTGATGAGTCTCCAGAAGATGGGTTGGTTGTGTGAATGACGAAAGCATAGTCAGCATTGATGACTTCTTGGACCAAAACAGCCATGCAAAGATAGTCATGATCCAGTTTTACTTTCTTCGTGCTGAAGTACGCTCTCTCGTTCCATTTCGAAGCCCAGACCTGAGATTTAAATTAGCCCGTTAGTGAGATTTAACATATTAAAGTTTAGCAGCAATGAACATTACGCCGAGATTTGACCTTTTTAATGGCTGCCCAAGCTTGTTCCCATCTCTGTTCACCTTCATCACCCGGCCATGGCATGTCGGACTTTTTCATAGTACTTTTCAGTTCTTCAACCTAGGCACCACAACAATTACAGAGGCACACTTCTCTTAGCAAATCTTTACATTTTTAGCCCTTCTGAATATAGGCAATTAAAAGCATCAAGCTTGGTCAATGACAGAAAATAACACCAAAACTCAAGCAATGTAGACGCATCAATGAAGAGCAAGGGGTCAAAGGATAGATGATTGTGTCACAAGTTTCTCACCAAAGAAAAAAACAATATGACATACCAGTTCAGCAGGTGCAACTACTCCCAACACTGTCTTACGGATTTCTCCGAGAGCATCTTGGTCCCCCTCATCAAGACTTTTCTTCAATACTTGCAATTTCTCGCTCACCGCCTGCCACATCCAGAGGAAGAGTGAGTGACTGGGAACTGAGGTTGGGTGAAAGTAATCATGAAAAAAGCAAAGTCTCAAGATATATTGGTTTAGACAGCAACAACTTCATCATAGTCATTAGTCATGAACATAGACACCATGGTTATAAATCCCAAGAAGCATTTGGAACTTATTCTACTCTAAATATTTCCAGGTTAAGAGCACCAGTAAAGAACAGCTAAACTATACATGTGGCCAAAAATCGCCTAAGTATCTGCATGTTTTGTTAAACCCGAATCTGTTAAGAGTTTGCTATCAGACCTGATTCGCCTTTTCCGAGATAACCTTCTCAAAAACACCAAATGGCAGCGCAACTGAAGTTGGGATACCAACCCAAGATGGAACTTTCCCTTTCAGATATCCAATATTTCTTGATTTAGCACCAACCTAAAGATAAAGATAAATGGGTTGTATTACTTGCACCCGTGAAGTCAGTTATTCAAACATGAGTAAATGTATACACAAAATGCATGTAGTATGATCTTACTATACAAAGATGAAATAATACGAAAAGAAACACTAACCAAGTCATTTGTGAACTCCTCAGACGATATAGCATATCTACCCACAAACTGCTTCTTGACCAAAGAGATGCTTGGAGGGGCATCTTCTAAGTTGTCCGAACTTAGATTCGAAAGTTCACTATCGTTTACTTCTCTGAGTAAGACGAAACAATAAGTAAGAACATTTTTTATCCCCAAACAAAAATCTCATAATGAATTAAGAGAATTCTACTTAATAATCTGTCAAGCACATCTCAGCTAGTTTTTTTCAGAAATCAACAAACAAGTATAATCACCTATAGACCACATCTGCAGAGGTTGGTTTTAGGCTCAACACTTTTCCATCCATTGCTTGGAGATCAGATAAGATACCAGAATCAAAACATGTCGCAAAGCAGATCTGCAAGTGAAAGCCAGGCAATGTTGAATGAACAGACCACGAGCATCAATAACCGTTTGGCATCATGGTGACAGTTTATTACCTTTCCATTTCTTGCTCGAACAGAAACATGAGATAGCACATCTGGCATGTC